ATAGCTGCATTACACGACGTGAAAACATTCCATTTGTATAGCTGCATTACACGACGTGAAAACATTCCATTTGTATAGCTGCATTACACGACGTGAAAACATTCCATTTGTATAGCTGCATTACACGACGTGAAAACAGTCCATTTATCTAGTTACACTACACAACGTGAAAACAGTCCAATTGTCTAGCTGCATTACACGATGTCAAAACAGTCCATTTATGTATCTGCATTACACGACGTGAAAACAGTCCATTTGTCTAGCTGCATTACACGATGTCAAAACAGTCCATTTATGTAGCTGCATTACACGACGTGAAAACAGTCCATTTGTCTAGCTGCATTACACGACGTGAAAACAGTCCGTTTGTCTAGCTGCATTACACGACGTGAAAACAGTCCATTTGTCTAGCTGTATTACACGACGTGAAAACAGTCCATTTGTATAGGTGCATTACACGACATCAAAACAGCCCATTTATCTAGCTGCATTACACGACGTCAAAACAGTCCATCTCCTTCGTAGTACAACATAAAACAACGAGAAAACAATCCATTTGACTAGTTGTACTACATGATACGAAACAATCCATTGACTAGTTGTACTACATGATACGAAACAATGCATCTGACTAGTTGTACTACATGATACGAAACAATGCATCTGACTAGTTGTACTACATGATACGAAACAATCCATTTGACTAGTTGTACTACATGATACGAAACAATGCATCTGACTAGTTGTACTACATGATACGAAACAATCCATTTGACTAGTTGTACTACATGATACGAAACAATGCATCTGACTAGTTGTACTACATGATACGAAACAATGCATCTGACTAGTTGTACAACACAACTAGAAAACAGTCCAGCTGTGTAGCTGTTTGGATGATGAGAGAACAATACATAAGTTATTTATACTACATACGACAAAAAAAATTGCCTATCTTGTTGTATCATGCTACTAGCTAGAAACACCACCCATTTAAATGTACAGATGGATTGTTTTAGCTTTGTGTAATACAATTTACAGATAGATTACTGTAGCTTTGTGTAGTACAACTTATAGATGAATTGCTTTGTGTAGTACAACTTATAGATGAATTGCTTTGTGTAATATGACTTACAGATGGATTGTTTTAGCTTTGTGTAATACAACTTACAGATGGATTGCTTTAGCTTTGTGTAATACGACTTACAGATGGATTGCTTCAGCTTTTTTGTAATATAACTTACAGATGGATTGTTTCAGCTTTGTGTAATACAACTTACAGATGGATTGCTTTAGCTTTGTGTAGTACAACTTACAGATGGATTGCTCTAGCTTTGTGTAATACAACTTACAGATGAATTGCTTTAGCTTTGTGTAATACAACTTACAGATGAATTGCTTTAGCTTTTTGTAATATAACTTACACATGGATTGTTTCAGCTTTGTGTAATACGACTTACAGAAGGATTGTTTTAACTTTGTGTAATACAACTTACAGATGGATTGTTCTAGCTTTGTGTAATACAACTTACAGATGGATTGCTCTAGCTTTGTGTAATACAACTTACAAATGGATTACTATAGCTTTGTGTAATACGACTTATAGAAGGATTGTTTTAACTTTGTGTAACACGACTTACAGAAGGATTGTTTTAACTTTGTGTAATAGAACTTACAGATGGATTGCTCTAGCTTTGTGTAATACAACTTACAGCTGGATTGGGTTCTCGTAGAATAGCTTAGCCAGAAAGTTTTTTTTTCGTGGTATGGTGTAACTTAACAATGGATTGTTTTCCCGTAATGTTGTAAAACTAAACAAATAATTTGTTTATTTAATTGTATTACTGAACGAGAAACAATTTCTCTGTATCATTATTCTATACGACGCGAAATCCATCTGTGTAGTTTTAACTGTCACGGAGACAAAACAATGTCTAGGTATATTGCAAGAACAAAAACAATCTTTCTACTTGTATCAGAAGGCGCGAAAACAATCTACCTGTCTACTTGTACTACACTACGATAAAACATTACGTCTGGCCATATGGCAAGAGAAAAAATGATCTGCCTAATTGTATTACACCGCGAAAAATAATAATCCATTTATCTAGTTGTAATACACGATACGAAAAAATTTAGTCTTAGTAGTTGTAACTCAAGATGTGAACATTATCCATCTGTGTAGTTACTGGTCGCCAACAAAAATCCGTCTATCCAGTTGTTTTTACACGATGCTATAATAATCCTCCTGTCTAGTTGTTTATACGGCGGGAAAATATTCCATGTGCCTAGTTGAATGCTGCACGACGCGAAAGCATTTCGTCTGTCTAGGTTTCGTTTGTTTGTTTTGAATTTCGCGCAAAGCTACACGAGGGCTATCTGTGCTTGCCGTCCCTAATTTAGCAGTGTAAGTCTAGAGGGAAGGCAGCTAGTCATCACCACCCACCGCCAACTCTTGGGCTACTCTTTTTATCAACGAATAGTGGGATTGACCGTCACGTTATAACGCCCCCACGGCTGAAAGGGCGAGCGTGTTTGGTGGGACGGGGATTCGAACCCGCAGCTTGCGATTCGAGCTCCCTAACCACCTGGCTATGCCGAGCCTTAGGTTTCGTACCCAATGCAACAATGTTCTGTTTAGTTTTTTTTCTTTCAGTTAATCAGCACGTGCTTTAGTTTTTGATCTGCTTCATGTTGTATTGATTTATAATAGGTTGTTTGTTGCTTAACATAAAGCTACACAATGAACCATAAGTACTATGCCCACAGAAGGGATCAAACCCAGAATTGCAGGGTTACAAGGCCCCCAAGCTTATCGCTGAGTCATTTCTCTATTTTTGTGTGTGGCTAGTCGGGGTATTGAAAGCGCTCACGTCAGGAATCGAACCCAGAATATTTTAACGCTAGCCGAAATACTGAAAGAAGAATTTCTTTATAAACATTATATATATAATTTTTTTTGTAAATATCCAGTTTGATATTTTTCCTACTTCCACAAATTAAATGAAAATAATCAAACACTTTTGAGCTCAATCAATATAATTTAGCTCCATATATCAATATTTCTTCTTTCCTTTTCCTTAAAAGGGAAAAATGCTTTAATTTTACATTATTAAAATTTGTAGTTCCTAATTCTTTCTTTTCAAGTATTTATAGATCATTATCTTATATTTTCAGTATTGTTTTCTCTACTGTTCATGAACATCTGCCTAAGCCGATGGTGAAAGCTATTGTAAAAGCAAGTCAAATAAATTACAGTTAACTTATTAATGTCAAATATATGTTGTTGTTGTTTTCAATACTGGACCCTGGATAGTTGTATTCTGAATATTTGTCAATAATAACGTAATATAGTGTGAGCTTTGGTTTTGCAATGTGGTTATTATTTTTATTGGAAAACAATTTATCAAGACAGACACAAGAAGGAAATTTCGTATACTCTTTCACTCAAGATCAGCTCTTCGAAAGAGCTGTCACGCAATCATGAAGGAACATTGAATTGATCACACTACAATAAATTACCATATTTACTTCCATTTACGAGCTCAATTATCATTTTCTGTCGATCCAACCCTCCTCGGTGATTCGACGGTAAGGTTGAGGGCATATAACGCTAATTATCGAAGTTCGATCCCTGCGGTTGGCACAGCGAAGGTAACCCACCGTGCAGCTTTGTGTTTAGTAATAAAAACATCTAGTTTATATACATAAAAGTATATCAGTAAAATGAAAATAATATTAAAAAAAAGTATGCATTTGTATTGACAGCAGGCCATGCATTTAATACATTCTCCGAGCTGCAGCAGGAAAAAAAAATATTTTTTTTCATACATTGACAGTGCCAAGAAGACATCAGAACATCAGAACGTTTTTATGCACTCCTCTGAAGTTTCTCGTCCGGTCATCTATCTTGTGGGTTAAGCCTCCAGTAGCGGCTATAGACCCGCCTTCTTTACTGCTTCTCGCACCCTATTGCCCAGAGCAACTGGGCAAGCAACTTGACTTGAAACATCAAACAGTTTCTCCCGAACACCGTGAGGAGTACCAGATATTCTCGGACAGAAAATAAGTTGTTCAGAGAAGGTAAGTTGTAAGTTATGTAGGACGAATCACAAAATATCTCTACTTGTTAATTGGACATAACTAAATTCTGCAGAAAGATTTCTTTTAGACTTCTACACTTTTTTGTTTGTTTGTTTGTTCCAGTTTATTCCTTCATTTTCAAAGTGAATACTGAAACCTGCGGTTTCTCGTCGTCAAACAGGTTTTGATGTGTGTGTGTGTGTGTGTGTTTAAAAAAAAAAGATGCAAATTCGTATTTTTATTATAATTATTATTATTTTGCTGTTAGTGTGAGAAGAATAAATTTTAACGATTCCACTTTTATCTTGCTAATGAAATAAGAGGAATATGTTTGACGTAAAATAAAATCCGGAAATAAGCCTTTCTTTGCTTTATTATCAAAATGACTATAACCGATACTCGTATTACCATAACTCTGCAAAGTTAGGCTTCTCTTATGTACTTTATCACCTGCTTGAAGTGAAGCTATTTTTTTTCACCAGATGGCGCGGTGAAAGCATTACGAGTGGCCTCGAAACCCTGTGCTATAGTGTCAGAGAGAGATCAGTATTTATAATTTCAGTAGGGCTACTCCGAGATTGCTGTGAATCCGCTGCCGATCCGTGACGCCGAAAGAGGGAGTGCCTCGTACATATGGAAAGCCTACAACCAGGGGCTCGGTATATTTACCGGCTTGTATTTACGAAGCTCCTGTAGAATTTGGCTAACGCAAGTCGAGCAGAGACGCGTATTTCATCACATAGGAAAAAGGAATCGCTTCAAAGATAAACCAGAAGGTTGAGAGAGAAAGAGAGATGTAAATACGCGCTTGGTTGTTGTATATTTTAGCGTATGGTTAGCTGAAAATTGCTTTGAATATCTTGCGATCAAATTTATGTTTTATTATTTCTGTAAAAATGTGGATGGAACACTGTTTAAAACTACTTACGTTATAACTAAGCCTACCCTACGTTTGGAGAGTCTCTCATCAATGAAGGCAAATCAAGAAACTTAAAAGAACACTGTATCTTATATATACATTGGATGGAGTTAAATATAACATTGTGCCCAAACAAGGCAGATTTGTTGTTTGTAAAGTATATCGCTCTGTCATTGAGTTAGGTATGTTTATTAGACAGATATCAATAGAAAGTGTGTTCCTCGTGTGGTCTTGACATGAGTTTCGTTTGTTTATGTTATTACTCTCAACCCGACAATATATATATATGTGTACTTTAGAAGTTGTGTGGTTATTTATTTGGTGACGTGTGACGTAATACTCACGTGACTTTACTATCTACTAGGTTGAGGGCCTAGTGTTGAGAGAACAACGTGCCGACACGGCCGAGAATGATGAACGGAGCCCTCTATGAGGACAGCACGAGCAGTCGGCCAACTCTGGACCCCGTGCCGCCAAGCCAGCCTATTCAGCCTGCTCCTCTCCACATTCCTGCCAAGAGAGTAGCTAGTGGTTTGCCAGTATCATATTCACATCACGAGCATAACGTGGAAAACACTGCCGCCGTCATCCGACACGGACATGGTGGACAGCCCTGGACTTACACCGCCGAAAACCATACAGCTTTCGACCCCCACCCTCAGTACAACCAGACTTTTTGTAATGTCCGAGAGGCCGGAATGGCTCCAACTTATTACTACAATGAACACGCCGTCAGAGCGGTGGGTACACCAGATAGGAAACCTTCACTCAAGTTCTGGTCGAACACGTACGAATTGGCGTCCCCGGGACCCAGCAGTGTGGCTCCTGCAGACTCGTGCCAAACCTTCGCTCCACAGACCTGGTGCAACTACTCTCCGTATCCCACCCGAGTGCCGAGTCACATGGAGCCCCATGCACCCCAGCACATGCCATATCTCGCCAGCGAAGACCGAAGTCGAGTGCCCATGGACTTCTCTTATCCCGATAGCTACGGATTCCGGAGCTTCGGCGGAGCCGAAGCGCATGGTCCCACACATTATATTCCTGCAGGTACAGGTAAGTGAGCTTGTTCATGGATTTTTGTTTCTTTTGTTGAAAAGAGAATCGAATAAAAATATATACGTTAACAAGCACTTTAGCTATTGTGATTCTTAACTTAATAGACGGCTGTATCTGCACTCACAGACGGAGTACTCTAAAGTTATAGCTTTTAAAGACCTAACAGCTTTTTTTACCCAGGACACGATGTAGCTAGTTAACTTCAGAATCCCCGCAAGTCGTAACAAACGCCTGACCTAGAAGTAGGCTAACTGTTGGTGGACTCGAAACGAAAAATTGACTTAGCCGTTTTAACTACTGATTTCCAGTCCGATAAGCGCTTTTATTCCCTACTTCCAGTAGAAACGGACGGGTGAGAAAGAACTCACCCACCACCACCACCACGTTTCTCTAGAAATATAATATTTCCATTATTTAACGTTTCGAAAGTCAAAAGAATTAAGGAAATATGCAAATATTGATTCTACTGGGATTTTACTGTGGCGTTTGGGTTGCGACGTTTCGTGACATCTCTTGTGCAACTGGAGACTTCCCAGGCATCATCGGCCAAAGCTGAAGAAGTGTACGTAAAGTCGAAGATGGTCTCAAACGCGCGAGAGAAGACTAGGCTGTGGTGTAAAAATCGAAAAGCAGGGACTTTAAACTCACTATTAACGAGGTATCGCTGAGTTTCTCAACCGTAAATTCAAGCCAAAAAATTTTAGTTTTTACTTTTGAAACTTATTTCAATGAACCGAAAGGAGTAGTCTTATAGTTCTGTACTATAGTTAGTAAACATAAGCTACAAAAAATGAACAAGATTTTTCAAAATATTCTTTACGCCTTTAACCTCTAGTAAGTAATATGTTTCATTTTAAAGTCTATACTCATTCATTGAAAGGCGCACTAAGAAAGTGGAGACAGTTAGCTATCTCACATATTTGGCTCTCACGTCATGTACTCTAGGAGATTATTACAACTTTGTTATCTTACAATATAAATGTAATAAATGAGTTTATGACCGATAAGAAATAGTTCATAGCATATTTATATTTTGTTGTTGTTGTACCAGGCGTGGTCTAGTGAGTTACGTCCCGAACCGTGAATCTGAGGGGTCCATGGTTCGTGACCCTTGGCAACAAACTAATAAAATCACGCTTCGTATTTTGGGGCCTTGTGTGCGTGATAAGAGTGAAATCAAATCCCATCATTCAATTAGCGCAAGAGTTTGCGATAGGTGTTGTGGACTAGTTACCTTTCATATAGTGTATGAGCCCAAAATTAGAGACCGATAGCGGAGATAGTCCTTGTATAGCTTTGAGAGAAACTTCGAAACAAATCAAAACTCTTCATGTTACACAGAACCTAAAACTTCCAGGACTTTCCAGACAATGATACGAATGTTTCACCTAAATATAACATTGTATTTAGTAGGCAAGTTATATATATGTATTTGTTTACGTATGTGCTGTTAAATTGCCAAACCTATTTTATTAGGGCAAACATTTCAACTTAGTTCTTTAAATCAATTTTTCTGATGTTTCTGGAATATTACCCGGGTATTTATTTAATTTTTTTTTCAGTTCCTTTCACAGGAGAATCTTTGATATCGAATCATTTGGACTGCACAGGGGCAGTCACAGTCAGAAAGAAAAGAAAACCTTATTCGAAATTTCAGACACTCGAATTGGAAAAAGAGTTTTTGTTCAACTCGTATGTGTCAAAGCAAAAGCGTTGGGAACTTGCTCGTAACTTGAACCTGACGGAACGACAAGTGAAAATATGGTTCCAGAACAGACGGATGAAAAGTAAAAAGAGCTCCCAAAGAAATGGAGACAATCAAAACAACCAGAACAGCACCAACACCACCGTCAACGCCAACACGTATACCAATCCAAACTCTGCCAAATAAAAAAATAGTTAATCGAATAATTGGGCTAGAAATGTAATGACTAACGCCGCTACAGAAGACCACCGCTACGAGAAGTGTTAAAAAAACAAAACAAAAAGGATACGAATGCTCTGTGGAAAAAGAGCAAAGGAACGAAAATCTTTACTTGATGCTAGGTGATTAAGATAAATTCCGAGACCCAAATATAGATGTTATCTGTACGAGACCAAACTATTTTCCAATTAAGGCAGATTTCCCAATAAAACAAACTTTTAATTTGCTCTTCATTTTGTTTTGAGCCATTAATACGTGTTAAATATATAGAGTAAAATAAAAAAAAAACAAGGTAAGTTGTAGTTCAAAGTTTTGTTAGTTTGCAGGATTCGTTTAACATGTAGATCTCACAGAAAGACATAAAAATCGCTGACAAATGTTTAAAAGTTATAGATGTAGTTGGATTCTAGCACTATGTTGTCCTCTGACATAGACTAACAAATCTGTATTTAGGTTGTGATATATATATGTGTTGAAGTAAAAGTTCAGCCTACCTCATGAGTTAATCATTAAAACAACAAAGCTGCAAAGCTCTTTAGTTATTTAAACTTTGGATTTTTCAATATGTTTAACTTCTTCGCATAAACAAAAAAAAATATATAAAAAAATGTCAAGATTGGTTTTGTCTTTCAACGAAATCGTGTACAACTTATATTCGGTTAAGAGTGTGAAAGTAACACATTTTTAATTAATTAATTTGGCCAGATTTGTCGTTTATTTGAAGAACAACCATGAGGTCTTAAGGATTAACCCTTCTGTGTGTGTGTGTGTGTGTGTTTGGTAACACCTGTTTACAGACGCAGTGACTAAGACAGGTCACTGCGTCTCTAAACAGGTGTTACCAAACACACACACACACATTATTAATCTGTACAAAATAATCGCTTTGTTGTCTTCATCCTGTCCGAAATTAGCGTTAAAACAAACGAAGCTTAGTCTGGATGTCCAAAATGGTGTAGTTTATTAAAAATATTTGATTTTGATTATACAATTGTATGAGAATGAATGGTATGTCACCCGACCAGATTCAATAAGATGGTTCCTAATGGCATAAATCAACTTACAGGTTGTGGCATTGACCATTATCATTAATGTGTTGTTGATATCATACTTTAGGTTGTGTAAATGAATGTTTATAGTGTCTTTTTATTGCTGAGTACAAAGGCTGCTTGTACATTGCTATCTTCAGCAGTTGTTGGGTAGTTTCAAGTGCGTTATTGTAACAGAAGTGCAGTAAAATGTTATTTAACAACCTTATCATAGGCCTGTACAGAACAGGTGCAATTTTATAATTTAGACCTTAGATCTGGATTTTGTTTATTAGTGCAGTTCAATTAGGTAAGACATTATTGAGTGCTGACACTGGCTGTACAAAGTAATCGTGCCCATTGTCGCTTGATTTGTATTGTGAAAAAAAATTTAATAAACGTTGTTCAATGTATTATTACGTGTTTGCTTGTATTTGTATCAGAAAACTTTGAATACTTTAGTCTTAACGAAAATGAATTTAGAAAATGGAAATCCCAAATCACCATCCAAGCATACAGCTGGGATGAAATGTTATGCGTACAATATGATATATAGAAATGAAACAATTATGAAATATGCATAAGAATTATTTCGGCACACATAATAACATAATTTTCTTCTCAGCAGATGGCGTACCTATCGTAGTTTTTACATCAATTATTGTTCAGCACCCTGAAGTGCTCAGTTCTATTAGTAGGATACCAGGAAACAACCAATATTTGCCTTCGCGCATGCGCAGCTGGTAAGAGAAGCGTGAAAGAACCCCTAGATCGATGAGCTTTGTGTTTGCCCTTGCAGCGGCGGTAAAATGAATTAAAAGAAGTAGAAAATAACAGGACGCTTACACCTAGAAGGAAAAAAAAAAGACTGACATGATCCTAAAGACATAATTTCAAACCTGGAGTCTTGTAAAATATTAGGTTTTTTTTCTCCCCATACACTCTCCCGGCCTTAAAACTTTGAGATGAAGAACCTGAAATACTACTACTGAACTACTCCAGTGACCAGTCACTGTGATTCTGTTGCTTACAAGGATACAATCAACATCGATTTTTTTTTATAACAACAAGATAAGAAACGCTGATGCTTAGGCTAATCATGTATAATGAAGTCCCGAAAAAAAAAAAAACAACAACATGCGGATTTTGAACAAATACATGATTAGGCGTTAGTGATTTTCAATGTATCTCCTAATTAACAATCATGAATTACCTCCACGTATATATATATTATCTGTCTGTTGAAACTAACTGAATATACTCAACTTCACAATCAGATAATCGTAAAGATAATTTCAGAGCTGTGTGATTTTTTTTTATTGTTATTTTATCTGCTAGTCGCTAGACGATTTTATCAGTTAGATACAGAGATAATTAAAAGATTTTTCAGGTCACGAAGAACAGACACTAACGTATTCATTAGTTTATTTTTTTGTGCAAATACAATAAAGGGTGGGATAGACGAACTCTGTTTGGTTGTATCTATTCCTGTTAACATATTATCGAGGAATTATTGACAACGTATATAAAGAAAATTAATTCGTGATATGAAATATCTCACTAACTAAATTTAATTCATGAAACCTATCCGACATATCTCACTAACTAAATTTAATTCACGAAACATATCCGACATATCTCACTAACTAAATTTAATTCGTGAAACCTATCTGGAGTATCTTATTAACGAGATTTAATTCGTGAAATCAATCCAGAATATCTTACTAACTAAATTTAATTCGTGAAATCTATCCGTAATATCTTACTAACTAAAATAAACTAGTGAAATCTATCCGTAATATCTTACTAACTAAAATAAACTAGTGAAATCTATCCGTAATATCTTACTAACTAAAATAAACTAGTGAAATCTATCCGTAATATCTTATTAACTAAAATAAACTAGTGAAATATATCCGTAATATCTTACTAACTAAAATAAACTAGTGAAATCCATCCGTAATATCTTATTAACTAAAATAAACTAGTGAAATCCATCCGTAATATCTTACTAACTAAAATAAACTAGTGAAATCCATCCGTAATATCTTACTAACTCCTTAAAGTAGAATTTATTGATGCAACGCTGAATTCAACTATTAGTCTTTTTTTCTAACAAATCTGTTTGAAATATTTTGATTTACAAAATTCTAATGGATAACCATTGCTAATGATTTATTTGATCACACTTGTTAAACCTTTTTTTTATATGTATAGATAAAGTTTGATTTATTCGTTTTTAAGTCCCCCACTGGGACAGCGGTAAGTCTACGAACTTACAATGCTAAAATCCGGGGTTTGATTTTCCGCGGTGGACAAGGCTGATAGCCCCAATGTGCCTTTGGTCTCAAACAACCAAATATATATATATATATTGAATATGTTTGAAATCTTTAAATATAGAGGAATTTTCAAGCTTCAATTTCTGTTTTATTATACAAGATTAACAGTTTTATGATGCCATTAGATATGCATGTATACACCCAATTCTAATAATTTTAGTTATTTTAAAATGTAAAACTTAACAATTTGTAACGAAGTGTCAGTCAAAAATAAGCACTTCCCACTTATATCTACCAGAAGCCATTCTCTGTTATATAAATTTTCTGGATTGATATTGCTTTCTTAAACACGATAAAACCAAAAGAATAATTCTTTAAGTGCTAACTTAGATTAATGTATCTGTAAAGCTAATATATTTAACATCCATCTTTTATGTATGATAAGCTTTTTCTTAGAGCAGAAAGTTAAGATAGAAGTTAGATAACAGGTAAAATAAATGCATATATTTTTGAGTATAATTTCGAAAAATATCATTAAAAGTTTTACAACGTCGTGATCTCATCAAGATTAATATTGACATGTGATCAAAGAATATTACGAAATATATATATATATATATACCGAATAATGAATAGAGTTAATTCAATGCTATGGTCTTACTTATAATGATCAGATTGAATTGTTTCATCATTTGAGTACTCTCACTGGTAGCGATGTTTTCGGCCATAATCCCACAATCTAATGCCATTTCCAGCTTGCTATTTCTATATAAGATACTGTAGAACTGAATCTAAACAAAGTTGAACTTAAGTTAACTTTTGGGCCAGCAGAGGGATTCATGAGAGTTTAATATATGTTTTCAATAAGTTTGACTTTAATAAACCTACAAATTGTTTTCGACCAGTTAACGAATTTCACAGTATTGTTTTTGTAATTACAATACAAACAAACCAGTACTAGACTTGGTCACGAGGGTGATATGTATGGGGTATATTGGTCTGTTTTTTTGCAGTTCATAGAATATTACCAAATGTTTGAATGTACTATTTACTGTCTCAACTAATTAGTTAACAAGGAGTAAAACAAGAAAGATTTGAAGAGAAAAACGGAAAAAAAAGTAATGAACAATAAGTTGAAGAAATCCCCAGTTTTATACTGTAAAACAAAGAGTTTCTAAAATATTTTACTGCATACGCAACTGACAGTAAAACAGTGTTTATGGGACTAAAACAAAAATCGGTCGTTAATGACAGTGCAGTTTAATTAACACAAAGTTAGCTACCAAGAATGATTTGTTGTCTATATATAACGTGAAGCAATACAATGGTATTATGTATGTATGTGAGATGAGAATGAGAAACATTGTGGAATAAGTCAGATCACTAGAATATTTTATAAATAGTCTAGCAAACTTCCAAAACTCACAATATTATTCTGTAGTAGTCTGGAAACAGGTCAGATCATTAGGGTTAGAATATTCTATAAATAGTCTAGTAAGGAAAAAGAGTAAATTACTAAAACTCACGATAAACGCACTAGGGAAAAATGAGATGTTAAATAGTCCATCAAGAAAAGAATCATATATTTGGAAAAGTGTTGGTAAATATAGTTCACCTGACACGATATTTGGTAATATATGTTCTAGGTGAGTTTTGTTTTCAAATCAGGATTTCTGACGAATTATATTTTTCAAAATATTTTTTTTAAAAAAAAACA